GTGTTGAATACCCCAGGGTCCCTGCGGTGACCGGACTCTGCCACATGAACCTTCATCAGAGGTGCCCAGCACAGAGAGGGCGCTGTGCAAACAGCTTATTCGTGCGTGGCCTTTGTGGTCATGCTGCCCTGTCCAAATCTGCTTTGGCTTCTCGCAACGACCAAGTTAAGCCGAACAGTGGCTCCCCCGAAGGGTCCCCCTCCTGCCCGTGCATGCACCTCCTGCCCTGTTGCACATCTTGGCTGAGCGCTGTGCTAGGGGCTGGTGCCCGGGCCAGTGGTGAGTTTTCTATGCCTGTGTGTGTGTGTGTGTGTGTGTGTGTGTGTACACCCGACACTTGCTACATGCCGGCCCTGTGCTGAGCCTCACCTCCTTTATCTCACGAGTCCTCGGAACACCCACACGGGGCAAGCACTGTTTCGAGTCCCATTTTACAAATGAGGCAGCAGGCACAGACAGGAAATGTCATCAGCCCCAGGTCACCCAGCAGGAGGAGGCAGAACCGGGGTTAAGCCCCGCGCCTGCGTCCTAGGCCCCCCTGACTGCTGTCTCCCACACTGGCCTGGCTTGGGTCCCATCTGTGGTACCCACGAGCCATGTGACCGAGGACCTGTCTGTGGGCTTATCTGCCCAGCCCTCAGTTTCCCCTCTAAGTGGGGTGATGAGACCCCCCATGGGGCTGTCGGGAGGATGAGCTGAGGTGGGGGGGATCCAATGCTTGGTCAGGGAATTGCTTGACACTACTGTCACCAAAGCGCACAGGTCTGCCCATGGCCGCTCTCATTTTTGATTATTATTGTCATTACTTTGGTGGTCCTGGGGCTCAAACCTAGGGGCACTGCACAACTGTGCTACATCCAAGCCTCTGTTTAAATTTTATTTATTTTATTTATCTATTTATTTAATTTAGATACTGGGCATTTGAATCCAAGGCCTTTATACTGAGCTACATCCCAGTTCTTTTAGTTTTTGAAACCTTTTTTTTTTTTTTTTTGGTACTGGGAATCGAATTTAGGATCTTGCATTTGCTAGGCAGGCGCTTGTGCCGCTGAGCCATATCCTCGGCCCCTATTTTATTTTTTTTTGAGAGGCTGAGGCAGGAGAATCATTGCGAGTTTGAGATCAGCCTGGGCTCCAAAGTGAACTCAAGGTCAGCCTGAACTGCATAGTGAGACTTTGTCTCAAAAAAACAACCGAAAGCAAACAAACAAACAAAAAAACTGGAGACAGGGTCTTACTAAGTTATCGAGTTGCTTAGGCTGGGCTTGAACTTGTGATCCTCCTGCTTTAATCTCTCAGAGTGCTAGAATCACAGGTGTCTGCTACTGTGTCTGGCTCCTTTTTAATTTTTTAATTTCAAGACAAGACTTTACCAAGTTGCTCTGATGAGACTTTACCTTGTGATCCTCCTGCCTCAGCCTCACCAGTGCTGGGATTATAGGCATACACCACCACGCCTGGTCTGTTCTTAACGTTACCAGATAAAATTCTCTCCCCGCTTCTCTCCTTTCCTTCTTCCCTCCTTTCCTCCTGCCCGTTTTTCCTTCCTTTCCTTTTATAAAAGTCATACATATTTATTGCCCCCAAATTAGAAAGTATAGATTAAAGGTTGCTGACTAACCCAGCAATGAGTATCGCGCCCCCTCCATCCAGTCACCTTCCCAGAGCCCCGCCTATGAATGCACGAGGCTTGGGGGACATCGAGATAGAAACCCCAACATTGCCTGTGCTCTGTGTGCCGAGCCTTGAGATGACAGAGCGGAGGGGTGGGCCTGGAGTGCAGGGCCGGGGTTTGGGCAGCACCTGTGTGTGTGACCGCAGGCTGTAAGGCGCGGGTGCCTTCCTCAGAGGCCCCACCTCCTAATACCGTCCCCTGGGGGTCACGGTTCAGCCGTGTGGACCCTGAGGGGGACTCAGGCCCGGGCACAGCAGGTGGGGGCTTTAGCCTTTCTCGCCTTCCTTTGTAGAAAGTGTGGCTGAACAGGCAAGAGTAGGCGCCTTCTTCTTTTTTTTTTTTTTTAAGAGTAGGCACCTTCTGACGAAGCAAATCTGGGGTGAGGGCAGATACTTGTGTGCGAATTCTCGGCTTTCGGGATGTGAAGCAGTGCAGACTTTGCGAGCAGGAAGACTCACTGTTAGACCCCAGCTCTCTGCAGTAGCAGAGTGAGTGATTTTTTTTTCTTTGGAGCATTAGCTTTCCATATTGTAGAACGGGGATAGTAGCACCTATCTCCTGTATTTTCCTGTGAAATTAGATTGCACGTATATGTAAAGTCAAGTCAAACAAGTAGCAGGTGCTTTTTTTTTTTTTTTTAAGCAGTCTTGTGGATTGAACCCAGGGCCTTTGCACTGAGCTATATTCTTAGCCCTTTTTATTTTATTTATTTATTTTGAGACAGGGTCTTGCTTATTTTCTCAGGCTGGGTTTGAACTTGTGATTCTTTTGCCTCAGCCTCCCAGAGTGCTGAGATTATAGGCATGCACCATCACACCTGCCTAGTTATATATGAAAGCTAGGGGCCGGGGATATAAGCTCAGGGGCGTAAGCGCCTGCCTGGCAAGCATAAGGTCATGAGTTCGATTCCTGGTACCAAAAAAAAAAAAAAAAAAAAAAAAGAAAGCTAAGTGTGCCTGTAGATGGAGATTGTTTAGCCTAAGGCTTTGATCTTTTTGAGACAAGGTCTTGCTATGCAGTTCAGGCTGAGTCTGAACTCACTTTGTAGCCCAGGCTGGCCTTGAACATGCAGTGATCCTCCTGCCTCAGTCTCCTGAGTGCTGGGATTATTGGCCCGCGCCACCACATCGGGCTCTGAGCCTAAGACTTCGAAAGTCACGTCCACTTTGGCTGCAGTGATTTGGTTCTGTCTGAGCATGTCCCCCTACCTTTTTCTTTGTAGTATTAGTAACTGAATCCAGGGCCTTCACATGAAGCTATATATATTTCCAGCCCCAACGCCCTTTGTCAATTTTTGTTTCAGAGCTGCCATGGTGGCACATGTCTGTAATTCCAGCATTCGGGAGGCTGAGGCAGGAAGATTCGGGAGGCTGAGGCAGGAGGATTACTGTGAGTTCAAGACCAGCCTTGGCACCATAGTGAATTCATGGTCAGCTTGAACTATCTAGTGAGACCTTGTCTCCGAACAAACAAAAAATTATTTTGGGAAAGGGTCTCACTAAGTTGCTAAGTTACTTGGACTGGGCTCAAATTTGTGATCCTGCTTCAGCCTCCCAGTGTGCTGGGATCGCAGGTGTCCGCCACTACACCAGCATGTCTTTACATTTCTGAGTGTCTGAATTCAACAGCTGCAGGATGTCTCTGTGTTGAGCAGCCAGTGTCTCAGGGAAGCAGCTCTCGGGGGTGAGAGCTCATACTCCTCCCCTCAGACCAGCACCATGTTCCTGCTCCAGAATAGCACCGTCCCCTCCCTACCTCAGCTTCCCAGCCAAGGAAAGCGCCGTCATCCTCACCCCAGGCAGTGGGTGGCTGTGGGAAGAGCCCAGCTTGGGAGCCGTCAGGCTGGCTTCCCGGCCAGGTTCTATTGCTTTCTGGCAGGGTGATCTTGGGACCTGCGGGACGGGTAGAGGGGAGCCAAGGTCCTCTCCAAGTTGGTGTGTGTGTGTGTGTTGAGCCTAGACATTTTTTTTTTTTGGAGACAGGCTGTCACTGTGTAGTCCAGGTGGATTTTGAACTTGTGGCGATCCTTCTGCCTCAGCCTCCCAAGTACCAAGATTACAGGTGCATGCCACCAAACCTAGTCTCAGCCTGGACTTTAAAAAAATTCACGTAGGAATGATTTCCAATATACAGAAAAGTTGCAGAGCTCGTCAGTCTGTAGAGTTCCCATTGCTCACGCGTTACATGACCATGGCACAGTTGCCGAAACCAGGAAACGTGCCGTGGTGCGTCACCAAGCACTCTGGGCTTTGTATGGATTCCATGTTTTCCCACGTGTGTTCCTTTTCTGCTCCAAGATCCCAAAATGTATTTAGTCGTCGTATCTCCTGAGCTCCTGTGGCCTGCCACGGTTTTCCCAGATCCCCTAGGTGTCTATGATGTGGGAGTATGGAGGTCCCGGGCAGGTATTTTGTAGGATGTTCCTGTCAGGGTTGCCTGCTGTTCTGACCTGTGGCCGTGGTTTTGGGCAGGAGCGCCAAGGAGCCAGGCGCCCAGCTGTAGCAGCTGTCAGGAGCTGGTGGCCCCGGCATGTGTGGAGTCACCCGCCTCCCTCTATTGCCTGGTTCAGGTGGTGCCAGCCAGTTGCTCTGCTCCTTCCCGTTTGCTTGTCTGTCTTGAGGAAGCTGTCACTGGCCCAGCCTGTCCTCCAGCTCTCAATCTTGCACAAGGCAGTGGATGCCCCAGCCGACCTCATTTGCATGGGGGAGAATGGAGGGAGCTTCCCATGGGGAAGTGGAGTGAGCTCCAGGCACAGAACGAGTGCTGGGTGCTTACACCCCTCTCAGCGCGTTCAGACCTCATGTGCTGAAACCAGCAGCAGGACTGGTGGTGCCTTCTGCTGCAGCTTTGTGTGTGTGGGTGGGTGTGTGTGTGGGGGTACGGGGTAATCCCCAGGGCCTGCACACTACGCTACATTCCAGCCCTTTTAATTTTCTTTATTTTGAGAGTCTTTTTTTTTTTTTTTTTTTTTTTGGTTTTCCTCTGGTACCGGGAACCGAACTCACGACCTTGCGCTTGCCAGGCAAGTGCTTTTGCCGCTGAGCTAAATCCCCAGCCCCAATATTTTGAGAGTCTTGCTAAGTTGCCCAGACTGAGCTCAAACTTGTAGTCCTCCTGCCTCAGCCTCCCTGAGTCCTGGAATAACAGACGTGAGCTGTCGCGAATGGCTCCTACAGTGCCTTCCAAGGATGAGGAAACCAGGAGGCTAGCCCAGTGGCTGGCTGTGGACCTCCCTGGTGGGCTTTGCCCATCGCATGCCCTGCAGACCAGGGGAGGGCATGCGTGTCAGAGCCCGCTGGCTCACGGCACCATTTCTGGCCCACAGGGTGCCGGCTGTGGTGAGCAATGGGGATGCTGTGGATGTGGCTTTCTCTGGGGTCCAGCGCTCCAGCTGGAAGCGGAAGAGCTCCCGTCGCAGTAAGTTCCCCAACCCTAACTGCTCGCCACCTGCCTGGGGTGGTGCTGGGAGCTTGTAGTCCCCTTGAGGCCAAGAGCTTATGCTGGCCCTTGAGAGCCACAGGTTCACCCTGCCTCTGAGGCCTGCCATGGGCTTGGTGGCTGCTCTGTGGTGGACTGGGCACTGTGCGCAAGAGGTCCAGGAGTGGGCCTCACACCCGGCTGTGCATCTGTCTGCAAACTGTCATGGGCTCCTGCGACAGGCCTGTGGGTCTGATGGGAGCACCAGGGTCACTAGCACTCTGGGAGGAGGACCGCACACAGGGGCAGGTGGGGAAGGAAGGTCCCAGGCCGAAGGGGCAGCGTGTGTGTAGGAGCTGGAGGGCCAGGGGACACCGGGTCCCTGGGGAAGCGGCCCTTGGCTGTCCCGGCTGGGCTTGGGGGTGGCGTTGAGCGGGGGCCCCTGCTCCTGCAGTGATGGGAGAGTGTTCAGCTGTGATTGTGTCCAGTCCCTGTGCTGGGTTGAGGGGAGGGTGGGACAGGAGGGGGTGAGTGGCGGGTGCAGGGAGGAGGGAAGCATTGGTTAGGGCAGGGCCCTCTGAGTTTCCCGGAAGGCCGAGGGGACCATAACAGGCTCCTTCCGGGTGGGGGCTGCTGTCCCGAGTCCCAGCTCTGTCCAGTGGAGGAGGAGAAAGACCCCCCGTCCCAGGCCGGCATGTGGTGGGAGCCAGATGTGCAGGCCTGGGGGTGGCAGGGAGCTGGGTGGAGGTCTTCACCTTGGAGCTGCTGAGGGCAGGGAGGAGCCGGGACTGGGTCCCCGGAGAGCAGGAGGAGCCCCAGGCTACCCGTGCTGGCCGCGCCATCAGGACACCATGGCCACCAGCCGGGCACTGCTCCTGTGGCTGCACGGCCCACCTGGGTGCTCTTTCTCTCCCCTCCACTCCCAGCCGACCGGTTCACCTTCCCTGCCCTGGAAGAAGATGTGATTTACGACGACGTCCCCTGCGAGAGCCCAGATGCCCATCAGCCCGGTAGGGTGTTTCCCTGGCTCCCCGGCCCTGGCCACCCTCTTCTTGCCTTTTCACAGCTCTGCAGGCTTCCAGGTGGGGCTCACGGGGCCTCAGTATGGCCGGGGCTTGGAGCTCCTGGGCAGGATGGTGCGGTGGCCACGGGTTCCCAGGCAGGTCCTGTCCCTGCTCAGCCCTGGGTGTCGCCTTGTTAAGACAGTGACAGTCTGGGCTTCCCGGGGCTATTGAGGAGATGAGCAATTGTTGAATCAAGAGGGCAATGTAGCTAAAACTCGGAGAAGCCCTGCGCCTGCTCTGGGTTAGGATGGGGGTGGGACAGGTCTGTGGGGAGATTGCAGCTGCAGAGGGGACATGGAGTGTGGGTGGGTAGGTGCCACTGGGGCTCACCAAGCAGATGTGGAGTGGCAGGCGGCAGCCCTGAGCCATCTCTGCTGGGACGCACAGACCAGGTTCCCCATATGCCAAGTCGTGTGGCCGCTTTGGCTTAGGGTACCACGTCCTCATTTCCAGACAAGGAAACTATAGGAGCAGGGCTGGGATTCTAACCTGGGCCATTCTGACTCCCAGTGCACTGCTCTGTTCCCTGCCCCAGAGGATCTGGGTGACATTTTGTGACAGGTGAAGCACATTTGATCCCGCAATTGAGGGAACCCCAAAAAGCTGGCACAGTGCAGGGCCTGTGGCCCCAGTCACATCAGAGAGGTTCAGCTGCCAGGCTCAGATCACACAGCCTGGGCTTGAATGGATGACTCTTCTTTGCCCTGCTGTGGTAATCTACTTGTTTTCAGGGGCTCCCCATCCAGAGCAGGTACACCGGCCTTGCTTCTGAGGAGCTGCTAGTCTGATGGGGTGCTGTAGCCATCCGTGGTCAGCACCCAGGCACACAGGCAGCATGTCAAGGACCAAGGGCCTGGAGCCATCTCCTTCCTGACTCCGGTCCCAGGGACAGGGACCGATGGGCCAATGCGTAGGGTCGTATGGGCCAATGCGCGGCCTTTAACAGCCTGGGACGTGCTTGGGGCCCAGCTCCCTGCTTGGAGCTCCTGAGAATCCAAGGGGAGCAGGGAGGTGCGGTATCTTTCTGGGGCCTTGTAGTCCCCACACGCTGCTTTCCCATGCGATCAAATCAAAGGACAAACTCCTTGGCCTCAATCTTCACTGTCCTCAGGGCCTGGGAGATGGATTTGTCCTTGTCTTCCTGTCCTCAGGTGGCCTGGGAGCCAGACAGCCTACGCAAGCATCCTGCTCTGCCTGGGACTGATGTGGGCTTAGCAAAGCTCTGAGAGGAGGTGGTCAGCCTCCGTCTACAATCCAGAGGACACATACACAGTCCTGGGTTCAAATTCTGCTCTGCTACTAGTTGGGGCCTAGGGCTCTGTGCCTTTGGGCTTTGCCTTCATAGAAAACCAAAATCTCCTGACCTCACAGGCATCAGGGGAGGGCATCCAGAGAATTGCTTAGTCTCTCTGGGCCTCAGTTGACGCATCTATGAAAATGGGCCAGTTGTATCCCTGTCCTTGGGATGCTGTTGAGGTGCAGATTCCCTGAGATGATGTCGAGCGCTGAGCAGGTAGCCGTGAGTGCTTTGGAAGGGCCCTGTAGTCTTGGGTGTTAGTGAAGACCAAGGCCCGAGGAAGCTGGGGGACCCTGTGTGCTCTGAGGCCAAGGCCCGAGGAAGCTGGGTGTTGGTGCTTGGGCCTGTGTGGCTGTCTCTGCTGGAGAGGGTATTTCCAGACAAGCTCCAGGATGGCCATGGAGCGGTGGGGTTTCAGTACCTGGCAGCGTGATGAATGGGTGGAGTCCCAGCCCAGCTTGCTGTCTGTCCTGGGCCAGCCCATCTCTTCTCTGGGCTGCTTTTCCCATGTCTTGTGGGAGTGGTGGTCCCGCACCTGCCAGCCACAGCTGCTGAGATGGGGACGGGCTGGCAGAGGTATCCCCAAGATCTGGGTCTGCCTCTTCAGTCACTAGTTCAGGGGTCCCCTGCAGTAACAGGGCAACCAGCCCAGGTTTCTAATAACAGTCATGGCCTGTGCCCTAGCTGTCCACCTCTGGAGACATTAATCACCAGTGTCTTTGCTTAAAAATAACCTCCCGTTCTCCTCTGGCCCTGGGTCTCGGGTCTCCCCTGGTCCTCACGGCACCTGATGGTCTCCCCAGCTTTCCTGGGGGTGGATTTGCGAGGCTGTGGGTCAGAGGATGCATGCAGTCCACACAGAGCCACCGCGCATGGTCAGCTGCCTTGCTGGGTCCTTGCACCGGCGGGGCTCTTTCCCAGGGGCTCCCAGTCCTTGTTTATTTACTGTCTTCCTCCTGGTCTTGTAGGGAGGTCTCTGATTGCCAAGGCAACCGAGTTTCAGCAGCAGCTTCCGAGCAGGTTTTCCCAGTGCCAGATTTTTTCCGTGTGCCAAAGCGTTTCATCTTCGTGCACTTTTTGGAGTCTAACCTCACTTATTGTTTGCTGTTGTTTTCCTGAGCCAGTGTCTCACTTGCCTTGACCTCACCGTGTTGCCCAGACTGGCCTTGAACTTGCGATCCTTCTGTCTCAGCCTCCTGAGTGCTGGGATGACAGATGTGTGCCGCCACACCTGACTGTCACTTCATGGGAGAGTAGTTTTTATGCAGGTGACAGAGGAGGAAATCTGCCATGGAGCCGGCACCCTGTCTCCGGGCCTTGGGGTGGTGCCTTTCCCAGCCTCAGCTGTATAGCAGCGTCTCACGCCTGACTTGACGAGGACTGCCTGGTGGCTTCTGTTCCTTCAGCTGGGGGCTGTCAGTTCTTTGTCCCCAAATCCTCAGACCAAAACATTTCCCTTGGGGCTTGGGAAGAAAACAGACACTCCTGGTTTCTGGGCCAGGCACGCCCTCTACTGGACTGTCCTGGACGCCATGGGAACTCGGATTTGGGGCCAGAGGGAGGACTGGCCCATTCCTGGGCCCCTCGTCCCTCAACAGTCCCCGAGTACAGGAGGGTGCTGAGGGCTGAGGTGGGACTTAACCCTTAGCTTTCTTCCAAGAGAGGCCAGGGAGTGGGCGCTTGGATCACAAAGTCACGCGATGTTAATAGGAAGTTACTGAGTTTGTGTGTGTCTGGCACTTGTGCTTGTCCCCATTTTCTTAGCCCCTCACCACTGGGCTAGCCGCTTGGCCCCGGGGTCCCCGGCTCACCAGCCCTGCCCTGGCTGCAGGGTCGGAGCGGAACCTGCTCTATGAGGACGTGCGGCGGGCACCCGGAGAGGCCGAGGACCTAGGCTGGAGCTCCAGCGAGTTCGAGAGCTACAGCGAGGACTCGGGGGAGGAGGCCAAGCCGGAGGTCGAGCCTGCCAAGCACCGAGTGTCCTTCCAGCCCAAGGTGAGGGAACCAGGTGGGAAGCGTCTTAGGTCCAGGCACTGGGACCCCTTCAGGGATGGGGCGGTGGGTGGTGAGACCTGAGACCTGCATCTGGGCCTCCGTAGTTCCCGCAGGAGAGTGGTGAGTGGGGAGCCAGGAGTGACCCTGGGTTGCTGTGTCGTTGGAGGGCTCGGACGGGGCGGGCATGGTTTGGACCTGGCATAGGTGCCCACTCTACCCACTGCTGTGCAGACCCAGCGAGTTGCTCATGCCATCATGGGCTGCGACTGGGCTTCAGAATTGTTCCCAACTCAACCGCCCAGCTGGTCAGGGCTGGCCCTGACCGGGCAGGGAGGCTGCTGGCACCACTGCAGACCTGCCCATGGCGGTTCCCTCCAAGGCCTTTGATGTGCCAGCTGGGCTTTTGGCTTCTCTAGTGTTTGTGCCTGGAGCAGGAGCACTCTGCCTACTTCACAGAGGCTCTGCCAGGCCAATAGGAGGGCAGATGGGCAAGTGCTCCTTTCCTGACGTCACCTGTTGTGCTGAGATTTGCAGTTTAATGGCAGCAGCTTCTTACAGGGCTGCTTGGCCAGTGGTGACAGGGGCCCCTCAGGCCCCTTTTGAAATGACAGAGGCAGGCAGGTGAGATCTGCCCATGGGCCTGTCCTGTGGGAGCTGCTGGACCAGGTGGGGCCCAGGTGAGGGTTTTAGGAGCCTCCAGGCCATTCCTGAGTTGTGGGGTCCCTGCAGGAGAGGTCGCCTCTCTGGCCAGCACTCACAGGCAGGAGTCTTCAGGCAGCCTCTCCTCCTCCAGGAAGACCCCCAAGTCCCAAGCAAGATCCCCTGAGCCTCGAGCTCTCACTGATGGGCCCACACTGGGCGAGGGAACTGGCCTTCAGGGCTTGCCAGACTCGGAGCAAGGAGTTTATGACACCTGCCGTGTGCCAAGACCATGTCCAAGGAGTGGCTTGGGATACATGGGAGCAGGAAGACCAGATCCAGGCTTGGTGGACCTTTATGGTCTGGATATAACGAATGGGAAACGGTTTGTGAAAAAGAAGACAGAAATGCCTTTCTGTAATATGAGCCATGCAAGCCTGGCTGTGGGCCTGGAAGGATGGGGACCCCGAGGGCTGCCGAGATTGGTGAGCTGGGCTCCAGCCAGAGGAGACTCCAGGGGTTGCAGGAGCAGGAGCAGCCCAGCAGCCCAGTGTGCCGTGTTCTGCAGAACTAGCAGCGCATACTGCCTTTCTGTGGCGCTGGGCGGTGCAGCTCTTGCCCCCGAGGTCACTGGTCCACGCGAGGGTAGGACCCGTGCAGCCCAGCCCTGCTCTGGGTGTGACCAGTGCATCCACACTCCCTTCTCTTCTCCCACTGTCACTTCGCCAGGCCCTGCTGGAGCCTGGGAGAGAACCGTGGCTTTCTCTTGAGGGGAGGGAGAGGAGTGACTGAGTTGAGGCTCTCTAGCCGCAGTGCTCACATCTGTGTGGGCATCAGAGTCCTCTGAGGCCTGGGTGGAATTGCAGATGCCAGGGTCATGCCCAGGGACTGTAGTTCAGAGTTCATGTGGGGCCCAGCCACCACCTTTTAACGTGCTCTGCTGCCCCCAGTGGAGCAAGGGGCCCGTTTCTCAGCCCTCAGCCTGGCCCTGGGCTGGAGTCTGGGGCTGTGTGGGAGCTTGTGCCCCTCCCAGCCTCACATCCGGGGCTTTGGTGTCTGCCTCAGCCCACAGGCCCCGTGGCATGCTTCTTGGGGTTGCTAACATGAGGGCTTTTTCTGTGCCACAGACCAAAGCCCAGCTAGCTGGGAAGGTTTGGGGAGCGTGGGGCCCTTTGCTCTGATGCCCACTTCTGCCTGGGGACACTGCTGCACCCTGCCCATGGGGCTCTGCCTTCCTGAGCTGCTTGACCACCCGTCCCGCGCCTGGCGTGCAGCGCAGAGCGCCTTTGGGGGCCGCTGCTGCTTGGCTGTGCTCTGTGTGCCTCAGGGCTCTGCGCTGCAGGTGTCTGGGGAAGTGTCTGTCCTGTCCTGGGAGCCTGACTGCAACCCTGGCACTCTGCCCAGCTGCAAGAACACTAACGGAGCCCCTCCCTGAGATGGCCGGAGGGGTCAGCCCCAGGCAGGTGACTCATAAAAGAAGTGACCCTGGGGGTCTGCAGAAGGAGCGCCTCAGAAACCCCTGGCCCAAGTGTAAGCAGCCGCTTTGTCCCGTAAGGACTCCTCATGGCCACCTGCAGTCAGGGGGAGGATTTTCCCACATCTCTGTTCTGTGCTCATCAGCTGCGTGGGGTTGCAGGACTCGTGCCAGCTCTGCTCCCAGCCTCCTTTGTGGACTGGCCAGCCCAGGAGGTGACCTCTGACCCTAACATTTCCCAAGCATTTACACCTTGAGAGGTCAAGGGCACTAGGGGCTATGGCTTTATTGGTGTGCCAGCCCAGCAAAAACTCAGGAGCTTATGTGGGCTCAGTACAGGCCCCAAACTGCCCAGTGGTTTGGGAGTCTGAGTCACTCACTAGATCCCTGACCTTTTTGCCTAAAAATAGTGGCCATCCACCCCTTATGGTGCAGTTTATAAAGCAGGTTGATTTCTTTGATTTTCTTGATACCCTAGTGTGGTTAGTATTATTGGCATTAAGGTGCACATTTTGTTGACCAGAATAATCCATGGGACTGAAGCTCAGACAGGTTAAATGACAGGGTTAGGGTCATAGCCAGAAATGGTGTAGCCAAAACTCATTATCACATATAGATCAAAATACCTCAGCCATCTCTTTGTCCATTTATCCATTCATCCTCTCTGTCTGTCCACCTATGCACCCATCATCCACGTACCCATCATCCATCCATCCATCCATCTAACAAATACCAAGCACTTGTAATTTTTTTTTTTTTTTTTGTCTTTTTGAGACAGGGTCTCGCTATGCAGTTCAAGCCGGCCTTGAACTCACTTTGTAGCCCAGGCTGGCCTTGAACTTGCAACGATCCTCCTGCCTCAGCCTCCCAAGTACTGGGATTACAAGCGTGTGCCACCATGCCTGGCTCAAGCACTTGTAATTTAAAAGAAAATCATAACGGCCTCCATTTTCTGAGTGCCTGCTAACCTCTGGGCTTTACATGTAGTATCCATTGAATTTTCTCAGCACCTCTGTGAAGTAGCTATTACTATGGCCACTTTCGCCGTATGGAAGCTGCACATCACAGGTAAAGGACCGTTCCAAGTGGGGAGCTGCGATTTGTGTGCAGGCTTGGCTGCCTCCAGAGCTCACTCTTGATCTTCCTGTTTGTCTGTTTCTGTAGAAACAGTGCCTATCTTGGTCTTCTTTACCAAATATCCATTACGGGTCAGGAATATATGAATGAACGTAGGAACGTATGTTTGAACGTTGGTCTCTTCTGTCCATCCACCCTCCCTCACGGTGTGTAAGCCAGACGCCCATCCAGTCTTCCACGCGGTTTCCTGACCCTGTCTCCCTCCTGCCTTTTGCTCACCTCTTCCTCCAGTGGTGTGTTGGGGTCAGCTGGTGCCAGCCCAGCAAAAAGTCAGGAACCAACTGTTTGCATCTCTTTACAGATCCACACCCAGTGAGGTCACTTTGACCTCACTAGCTAGAAACTGGCTAAGATGTGCATAGCCACACTATGGAAATGCTCTGTTTGGGGAGAACCAGGACATGTTTCCAATTTTTTTTTTGGGTACCAGGACTCAAACTCATGACCTCATGCTTGCCAGGCAGGCGCTGTGCCACTGAGCTGTATCCCCAGCCCAGAAAATGTTTCCTAGAATAGTGCCGCCTGTCAGGATTCCCATTCACCCATCCATCCATTCTTTTGCTCTCTCGCCTGTCTCTTCATCCGTCCATCCGTTGCTTGTCCAGCTGTACGGTCACACAACCAAATGTCTCTAATTGTTCACTCACCCATTTGCCTGTGCGCACATCCATGTGTATGTTTGGTGTCCGCCTGTCCGTCCAGCCATCCTCTACCCATCCACCCACCTTTCTGTGAACTTGCCCACATATTCATTTCCCCCTCTGTCCTGCCCTCCCATCCTGCCCGTCCGTCCACCATCAGCCATCACCTTACAAACAGACTGAGAACTCTTAGGTCACAGGCCCTGCGCTGGGCCCTGGGGTGGGGAGAAGACACCGTCCTTACCTCCCAGAACTGGTCCTGTTCCCTGGGTAAGGGGGGCCTGGGCTTGTCCCCCTCCTCCTCGGCTCCCCAGCAGCCAGGACCCCCGCCAGGACTTCCACATGGCTGGCCTGTTGGGCTGGACGCTGCTGGAGCAGATTCCAGCCAGACTCAACCCAGCTGTGCCTGGGCCCTGGGATGCCACGCTCTGCCCACCCCGACCGTCCGATTGTCCGTCTGCCACTTGACCTGAGTCTCCTTTCTCCTCTGTTGTCTGTTTGTCTCCTTCCTGTCCTGCCCGCTCCTCTCACCTGCTCTCCCTCTGCCTGGCCGCTTGGGGGCTCCAGCTTTCTCCAGACCTGACTAGGCTAAAGGAGAGATACGCCAGGACTAAGAGAGACATCTTGGCTTTAAGAGTTGGGGGGAGAGACATGCAGGAGCTGAAGCACAAGTACGATTGTAAGGTACTGTCCGTCCACCCCTCCCCAGGCCTGGAGGGGCCGTGTGCAGCTGCAGACCATCAGGGCCTTCCTGCTGCGCTGGGCTGCGAGGGCGGGCTGAGCCTTGGGTGCCCTGGACCCGCACCCTGGCCGCATCTTGCCTCTGGGCTGCAGCTGGGCAGTGGCTTAAACCAGCTGTGCCTCCCACATTCTTGTCCTTGCCTGGATCTTTCCCCCACCTGCAGCGGACATGCTAATGGTCACAAAGATTTTCAATCTTTAGGGCCCTTGGGATCCCCTGGGGAGTCCTTTGTTCAAATTGCAGATTTCTGAGCTCCACCCCTGGGGTGCGATTCCCTAGGTCCGGGGCGTGGCTCAGGAACCTACATTATTTAACATCCATGGGGGGGTTTGGATTATGCTTTGAAAAAGAATGTTGGCGACCTTGGACATTCCTACACCTCCATGCTGTTCAGAGAAGTCCAGGTTAAGTAGCAATCCCGGTGCCTGCATGGGTGGGACCAGGCTTCTGGATGCTATTGACCATTAGCAGCCCTTAACACTTGCTGTGTCATGACAAGTTCTGGAATCCTGCAGACCTGGGTTTGAATCCCGGTCTCATCACTTCTTCAGTGTGTGATCAGGACTGCAAGGTGCTAGGTCCCAAGAGCTCGGTGACTGTGACCTCTGTTAGGATCTTGTGGCCGACCGTTTGTTCCCATCGTACCATCATTCAGGATAAGGCAAGGAAAGGAATGACTGGCGGTCAGCTCTCTTGGCCAGCGGCAGAGCTGGGGTTCCAGCGGGTCTGCACACACCAGGCCTGAGAGCTGTCCCTTCTACAGCACGGCCACCTGCATCAGAGCCCGGGCGCCCCAAGAAGGACACTTTCAGCATCCCACGGGGTGGGGCAGGTTTAAGCCATCAGGACTGAGCCTCAGTGAAGAGCCATGGAGGTCAGAGGCCAAGGGCAGGGCGCGACCCCCAGCCACAGCCTGGCTGACTCGGGGACCTTCACAGGTGTTTACTTGCTGCTTTTTTCTCCCAGAGGAAAATGCCAAGTGAAGGGTCTCAAATGATCCTCCAAATGTCTTGTTCCTCAGACAGGCCGCTGGATGGCTTTCTTCCAAGAACAGGAAATGGGCTCTATGGCCCCCAAGAAGAGGATTTACCCCACATGTACAGTTTCTGGGGTGGACATCTGTCCTTCCATTAGATCCTCAAAGGCACCAATGCCCCCACTTACCATCCAATGGAAGGACCAGGAGGCCAAGGAGCATTCCTTTAGTTGTGGGGAGTGGTTGGGCCCCACTTCCCTTTTTCCCCCAGCAGGGTTGCTTCCAGGAGGCAGCCTTGTTCCTGAAAAGCCACCGCCCTGCCCCTGCAGCCCTGGCCCTGGGGCTTTCCAGCAAGCGTTCCTCCCCCAGCCCCTGGAGCAGTGCACGGCCTTTCAGTTGGAGACCAAGGGACCGTCAGAGGCGGCAGTCCCAAGGACACCTGCACATCCGTGTCCCCGGCCCTCAGCAGAGTTCGAGGGAGGAGAGGGTTTTCCTGGAACTGTGTGATCCACCAGGATGGCCCTGTGGCAACCTCCATTGGAATTAATTAAAAATAGCTGCACATGGTAGCTGCCACACGCCTGTCATCCCAGCATTTGGGTAGGCTGAGGCAGGAGGATCAGAAGCTTGAGCCCACCCTAGACAGCTAGTGATTTAGTGAGACCTTGTCTTAAAATAAAAAATAAAAAAAAGACTGGAGCTGTAGCTCAATGCGAAGGCCCTGGCTTCAATCCCCAGTACTGCAGGAATAAAAAGCAAAATGAAATATCAGGAACTGGGGTGCTCAGTCACAGCAGTGGGGTTCAGGTGCTGTGGTGTGTTGGGCAGGACGGACACAGCATTGGTATTATTGCAGCGTCCTGGCGGCTAGTGCCAGGTGTGTGTGGGAGAGAGAAGGTGCCAAGACTGGGGCCAGCGGGTGAGAGATGTGAGGGACAAACGAAAGACAGTGGACAGCCGCTCTCAGTGGTGTCCCCCTCCTGGGCAGTGCCCTCCTCCTGCTTCCTGCCTGCTCAGCTTGCTGTGCCCGCGCCTGGCCCCGGGAAGCTGCTTCCCGCTCTGTCGGCTTTGTCTTCCCCTTTCCCTGGGCAGCGGCTCAGAGCGAACCTGGTTGTTGTGGGCGAGGACGAGATCCTTCCCCGGGCCTGGTGCTGGGGTAGGGCGCGCGTGTACTCCCTGTTAGCACCCAAACGGCACAGCAAGCCAGCTGTTCGCTGCACCTCCTGGTCGCCTGGTCCACACGGACCCCCAGAGGGTGCGTTTTGCTGGTTCCCAGGGGAAACCGAGGCTCGGTGAGGTGGAGTGACTTGTCCACTTGCTGGGGAAAAGCAGAGTTGGGGTTTGAACCCAGCCCGGGGACTCTGGCCTCCCCCATGCCCCTGCCCAGCGTCTCCCTAGTGTGACGCCCATTCCCAAGGCTGGTCCTGAAGGAAGCTGGTGGGTTGGGGGCCCCCTGCCCACAGGGAAACCCGTGGGGCACCGTGGCACCTGCTCCTGCCTCACTGTCCCTCCTGGCCGTGGCTGCTCACCCATCCGGGCAGGAGTGGGCGGGCGGGGAGGTTCTCGGGTGGGAGGAGGCTGGTGGCCTCGGGGACAGGTGTCCCCGCTGTGCCTCAGCTTCTCCGATGCGCCCTCTGCCTTTGCTCAGATGACCCAGCTCATGAAGGCCGCCAAGAGCGGGACCAAGGATGGGCTGGAGAAGACGAGGATGGCCGTCATGCGCAGAGTGTCCTTTCTGCACAGGAAAGACGTCCTCGGTGAGGTGCTGCCCGGCCGGGGAGCGGGGCTGAGCTCTGCACTGGGGACGAGGGTGGGCTGGGTGGTGGTGGTGTCCGGCTTCAGTGGCAGGGGGGTTGGGGACAGAGTCCCAGACGTCCCTCTTTTCAGAGTCTTGGCCTTGCTCTTAACCGTGAGCTTCTTGGCCCCTGCTTACGTGGCCTCCGAGTGTCCCTTTCCCTGCCTCATCCACCTGCCCATCCCCCAACCAGCCAGTGTTTATTGAACACCTGCTAAGCCCTCTGAGGGATCCTGGGGGTTGTGGAAGAAAGGAGTATGGAACAGGGAGTGAGAGATGAGCAAAGAGCAGGAACCTGGGCATCAGGCAGAGCGGAGCAGTGCCAAGGCCCGGCGGTAGAAGGTGTGAGATGTTCAGGAAATGACTTTCACAGCCTGGCATGGTGGCGCACACCTGTGATCCCAGTGCTCTGGGAGGCTGAGGCAGGAGGCTGGTAAGTTTGAGCCCAGCCTGGGCAACCTGGTGACTTTGTGAGACCTTGCCTCAAAATCAAAAACAGAAAGGGCTGGGACTGTAACTCAGTGCAAAGGCCTTGGGTTTAATTCCTAGTACTATGGAGGAGGGGAAAAAAGAAATGATTTTCACAGGGGTCAGCATGTCTTGAGCATTTGTTGCGTGCCAGGTTCTCTCAAGAGCTCAGCGGCCTATCACTTACTTACAGACACACACTGAATGAGGTGCAGAGTGTATCATGTTCCCGGCCGTAGATGGGAGTGAGCACAGGCAGGGAAGGCCTGGGGGGCCCTTGCCTGGCTAGAGCGAGGTGGACAGGAGGTCTGGGCCAGGTAGGTAGGCTGCAAGGGCCTTGTTGGGTGGTGGCCTTTTACGGAGCCTGGAGGGTTTTAGGCAGCAGTGCCTCATGGTCAGATTTGATCGATGGTCAGTCACTGGGCAGGTTTTAGCAAGCATCTACTGTGCGTTAGGAGCCGTCCTGGGATGGCTGCTATTTGAGTGAGCATGATGGAAAGTTATAGCACAAGTAGAGCTATAATATAGTGGTAGGTAGCGGCGGGGGCTGTCGGGAGAAGCCACACCAGGGGCTGGGGTGGAGCAACCGCTGGCGGGGTCAGCCCAGCGAAGGCTCTCTGATGCAGTCAATTCAGCTGGAGTGAGTCTGTTGGGTCGGAGGGGAGAAGGGGTCTCTGGGGAAGTGGGACAGGTGGCGAGAGTGTCCAGGCAGAGCTTGGCTACTGCCTGCATGCTCTCATGGCTTATGCCGGGGCTTCTGCTGGTGCCCGGGTAGGCTGCCAGCCCCCCAGGCCTGGCCCAAGGCTCGGCCCCTGGACCTGCTCTGTGCAGTGGGGGAAGCGGCCCTGCCACACACTCAGTGGCCCACCCTGCCTGCCCTGTTGCTTCTGGTCTTCAAGGGACGCTGGTCCCCTCTTCTAGAGAGTGCTTGGGCTGGGACTGTGGAACATTGCCAGGCGCCAGGGGCAGGAGACAGACCCAAGCAAGGCCCGGCCAGGCCTTGTGCTGCTTATATCTCAAGGGGCCACAGATGAGGAGATGAGAAGTTCTGGAATGGTGGCTAATGGGGACAAGCTCTCCTAGGTAGAAAGGGGCCTTGTCTGGGGTGTGCTGGCTACCCATCCGTGAAATACGGCCTCCAGCCAGGGGCAGCCTGTAAGTTCAGTATTTTAGCCTCTCTGTGCCTCAGTTTCCTCTTCTGGACAATGGGGCTAATAATGACACCCATCAACCAGGGCCTTGGTGAGGATGACAGAGGCAGTGGGTAAAAAGAGCCCTCCCTGGCGGGCATTGTTTTTGGTGGCAGTGGGCCTGACGTGGAGGCTTTGGGTGGCGTGGTGGTGTCACACTGACCTGAGTCACATCCCTGCTGTGTGGCCTCTGAGCCGTGACCTTGTCAGTTCTTCCCCTCCCGGAGCAGCAGGTTCCTCCTCCGTACAATGGGTTGAACCCCATGCTCTCGCAGCGTTGCTGAGTGAACTGGGCGTGCGCGGGACCGGGCGCTTGGGTTCATGCCCTCTCCACCTCTGGGGAGCAGGCCACCCCGAAGGGGAGGACAGGCCAGGCGGCTGGGGATTGTTTCTGGGACACTGTCCCTCCCCACCCACGAGCCCAGAGCCTCTCCTGAAGTGACCCTCCCACCCGCGGCGTTATTAATAGCCGCTGGCTCGGGGCTCAGGCCAAGAATGTTACCCAGCAGCTCGTGGGGGAAGAGGAAGCCGCGGAGCCGGCGGCTGGGGTGGGTGCGGAGCGATGCCCGCGGCGGCGTCATGTGGGCCAGGCAGGAGGGCCTTCGCCACCCCTACCCCCACGCGGTCGTCCGCTGCCCCTCCTCCTCCTCCTCCTCTGTCTCCTGCTCAGGTAAGAGCCTGCCCGAGTCCCTGCTCCCTCTGCCCGGCGTCACTTCTACTTTCTTCCCAGTACCCACTTCCTGCCCATGACGGCCGCAGGGTGTCGGGGCCGTTGAGCAGCTGGGGTGCTGTCTGCAGTACCTGAGTCCCTCTGGTGGGGGCCAGGACCCTCCAGAGACAGGCCCCACTGCCCTCTGCCTGGCCTCCCTCTCCCCCGAGGCCTGGGCCGCTGGCCCTCTCGGACTGTCCGAGTTTGGGTTTCGCACGCTTGTGCCCAGATTCCTGGTCAGACTCCAGCTGAACTTTCTTTTCTTGGTCTCTTTGCATTTTTAATTTTTTTTTTTTTTTTTTTTTTATTGTGACAGACAAGAGATTGGAAACAACACACATAATACTGGAAGTACTAACGGAAAAAGAAAGTGCAAAGCCAAATTGCCCCGTTCTGCTCTGGGCTTATTTTCTTCCCTCTTTGCTGCATGCAGAAGGTAACTATTTTTAGTGCCTAGTGATGGGGACATGAGCGGCTGGCCTTCGCCGGGCCAGAGCAGGGACAGTGACTTCTGGAGGAGTTAACACTGAGATCTAGGCCTGGGATGCTGCTCTGTGTCCCCTCCCTCGCTCCCTTCCTCTCTCACTGGAGCTTAGTTACTCATGGGCCACAGGCCTTGGGCTTAGCAGGGAGCTCATAGGACAGGGCCGAGCGTTGCTCTGACCCACAGGGTCCAAGGGCTGCCGTGCCCCGGATGGAGTCCAGGGCTCATCCTGAGTGGCTCTGAGCCTCTGCGGCCGGAGCAGGGCGTGTTGTCTCCACCGTAGCTTTGTCATTGGCCCATCTGACTTTGCAGGTGACTCGGAGGAGGAGGACATGGGGCTCCTGGAGATCAGTGTGACGGACATCAAGCCCCCAGCCCCAGAGCTGGGTCCCATGCCAGATGGTCTGAGCCCTCAGCAGGTTAGTGGGGCGCCGGGGTGGGTCTGCAGAGAAGGGAAGGATAGGGGACCCACAGGAGTCTGGGTCTGGAAGGGGAAGTGACAGCTGGGGACTCTCGGCAGTGGGTGGGGGCCTTCTCAGCTCTCTTCTTGCCTGGCTGTTTTCTAAACTGGACCCTGTAGGTTCCATGCTGTTGGCTTGGGGGACAGTGGCATGCTCCTGCCCCCTGGGCATCCAGGCAGATCCCGTGAGCAGTGTCTACCTGAGCATTGTTTGAGGGAGGCCTTCAGGGAAAAGGGCTGAAAAGCACTGAACTGCCTAGCCTAATGGGAGAAGACCGCAGGTGGCGGTTCCCATCCGCTGTCCGCCTGTCACCTCACTGGGACATTGCAGTTGTTATAGGCTTTGGCCAGGAGCTGTGGTTCTGCCAGCGGTGGGATCCTTCTCCCAGAGCATCCCATGGGTGGGTAGCTTTGCTTAGGAACCTTGTTCCTGTCATATCCCTGCCCTCCCCAAGTGGGTTTCGGCAGCTGGGAGGTAGGGTGTGAGCTGCCCGACAGAGAGGACAGAGCCTGCCGGGCAGCAAGCTCAGAGAAAGGGATTTGCTTGGTTCTGGGTTGGCGGGGAAAACATTTGGCCTCATTTGGAAATCAGGAACCCTGTCACCGTGGGTTCTGTTCCTGCAGCAGCTGCGGCTGGCCGGGTCCCTCCTTGGGATACTTGCATTCGTTGGTGTTACCTGCCCGACCTCAGAACGGCTCTGAGGAGGTGACAGCTTGCTCTGCCCCTGTCAGAGAGCCAAGCAAGGCCCCAGGTTTCCCTCTCCCAGCCAGGCCTGCTCTTTCTCCTGGCTGGTCCCTGTCCCCTGAAGGCTTTTGTGATCCTGGATCAGGCACTGTCAGTTATTCCAGGCCTGCAGTTCTCAATTCAGGGTGGTTTTTACCCGCTAGGGGAGCATCTGGCAGTGTCTGGGGACATTACGGGTTGCCAGAACTCAGGGTTGTTGCTAGCATTGGTGGGTAGGGGCCAGGAGGCTGCTCAGTGGCCTGGGGTGCCCTGGACAGCTCCCCATCGCCACTACCAGCCACATCCAGGTGCTGGGCCTCAGGACTCTGCTCTGAGTGCTGCTTGGGCTGCTGGGGTCGCTGATACCACATCCCGGGGAACAGCTTGTAGGACAGTGGCGCTGGCCATCTACGGGGGCCGTGTGCACCATGATCAGGCCTTGGGGAAGACGGGGAGAAGGTGGGAGGAGGTGAGAAGTGTGCGCTGGGGCAAGGGGAGCAGTGCAGGGTGGGGGTGGGTGCCTGGGTCGACACCGTCAGGACAGCTGTGTGCTGCAGTGGGTCGCTTTTCCAGCCCCTCGCCCCATATGGGCCTCTCACATGCGACACCTTTGTGAGCTCCACCCCGACTCTGCTATGCAGAGATAGATGTGCCTGGGAAAGATTTAAAGCCTGTACCCACGTCCCCAGCTTGCATCTGTGCCAAAGACATCCTGGTGTCTGGAGGGGCCCCAGGTGGCAGGATGTTGTAAAGGTCCCCACACAATTCCAACGTGCAGCAAAGTTTGGGACCTACCACTGCTAAGTCCAGGGTGTCAGGGCTGGGGGTTCAGTCACACCTCCTTGACAGGGTGCTGGTCAGGGATAGCTAAGGAGTGGGTCATGCTCCTGGGGTGCCAGTGCAGGCTGAGGGCACATAGGGTGGCGAGAGGGAGAGAGAAAGGGACTGGGGATGTTTAGTCTGAGATGGAGACCCCCGGGAGGAGATCGCCCCAAGGACTGTTGTGGAGGAGGGGTTGCTCGTGGCCTCCCATGCCCTCCTTCTGCAGCTGGAGGTGGGAGCTTATATGACGATGTATGTAAGCAGAGCTAAGCAGGATCTCGCACTGGGGACCCGGCCTCCCCGTTCCACAGTCTGGGCGGACAGTGTTTCTCTCCTGCGGGCCGGGGCTCTGGAAGGAAGCACAGTCCCCTGGGCCCTGGGGTCCCAGGTGTGGCTCTGGGAGGCCCGGACCCCTGTCCTGTCTCTGTCACCTTCCTGTCCCTGAGGCCCTGCACATGGCAGGCACATCCCGCGCACTGACTACGTTCTTACCTGAGCAGGTGGTCCGGAGGCACATCCTGGGCTCCATCGTGCAAAGCGAAGGCAGCTACGTGGAGTCGCTGAAGCGGATCCTCCAGGTGCATTGTCGGGGTGGGGGGCAGGGCACTCTCCGGGCTCTGGGACCAGGCAGGGAAGGCCCTAGGGAGACACTTTCCAAGGGGCATTTGGGACCATTTCAGTGGGAAGGGGCTCAAAGGCGGCACTGTTTATGGGGGCAGCGGGACCTCCAGTTGGGGAACACCAAGAATCCCTAGGTTCTTCGTGTTCGTGAGGGTGATTGTTTCCTGAAATGCTGGGACTCTGTGAAACGAGGTTCTTTTAGAGAGTGAAATGTATGGAGTCTCTTTCGTCCCTAGAGGGGACTGCATCTTCTCTGCATCTTCTCTGTCCATCTGGGGGGGCCCCAAGGCCCATGTTGCATCTGCCTGGCATCCTGGGGCTCCCCAAGGCAGGGATGGGGTGGGATGCCCAGAGGTTGCTAAACGGATGCCCGTGTCGGGTGCCCACAGTGTGCCAGTGGGGTCTGTGGCTTGAAGCTGAGGCCGTGAGTCTCTGGGATGTTGGAGTGAGGTCACCAGGGAGGGACTTCGGGGTGGGAGGTTCCGATGACACCTCTTGCTCACAGGTGTCAGGCAAGGACAGGTGAGAGCACCCCTGCTTCCCGTCAGGGGGACAGGAGAGTGGTGCTCTGTCTGGGAGTAAGGGGCTGCTGCGACCTTACGCCAGGGACAGGGTGGCTCTGTGTACTTCCCAACACCCCCACCAGCCTTGCCCTCTGGCTGCCACCATAAAGCTCCTCTCTGGCAGGTGGCACATAAGAGACCTTCTGGCTCCTAATTGAAGGCTGAAGTCATGGGCCGGAGGTCACAGGTAGCAAAGAGAGGCCAGGCTTTGGAATCACGGAAGCCTTTTAGAAGGGCATGCAAGGGGTGGGGGTGCCCCTCCCACAGCAGGAAGGTTCCCCAAGGGTGCCGAGTCCTCCGGGGTTGCCCTGCAGGCAGGGGGAGGAGACCCGTGACCGGCGCTGGCCTTGGCCCTCACCTCCGGCCCCCTGCAGGACTACCGCAACCCCCTGATGGAGATGGAGCCCAAGGTGCTGAGTGTCCGCAAGTGCCAGGTGGTGTTCTTCCGCGTGAAGGAGATCTTGCACTGCCACTCCATGTTCCAGATCGCCCTGTCCTCCCGCGTGGCCGAGTGGGACTCCACAGAGAAGATCGGGGACCTCTTCGTGGCCTCGGTGTGTGTCCCCAAATTCTTTCCCCCGTGTACCTTGGTAAAACCATAGTCACCCGGTGTAGCCTCCTGCCTCTGCCTTCTCCAAGCCAGTGGGATCAGAGTACAGCAGGGTCTCTGAGTCTTCCTGGCCCAAGCTGGGGATAGGTAGGGCAGCTTCATGTGCCCAGGATGTCTGTGGGGAGATCTGCAAGGCCCTGGTGCCAGGAAAGCCAGGGCATGGCCCTAGTCTGCCTAAGTGGCAGCACCTGCGGGAAGTGGCGGGCCTCTAGCTACTGTGGGTGGCCACCGGGCAGGTCCCAGGCTCCCTCTCCAAGGGACAGGCCACTGTTTGAGTCTGGCTCAGACCGCGGTCTTGGCCCCCGAGGAGGCCCAGGGCTGGGAAGGAGCCCTGGATTTTGGTCCAGGAGGCCTGGGTCTGGTCCCAGCTCAATTCTGCAGCCTCAGGCAGGTCCACGCCCTCTTTGGCTATGGGTTCGCCATCTGTGGAATGAGGGGGTATGTGGGGTTCTTGGCTTTTCCAACTGAAATCTGGGTGCCCCAGAGACCCAGGGGTGCGAGGGAGGGTCAAGTCTGTGGAACTCTGCTTTAGGTCATTGAGTTCTGTTCAATGAAAAAAATCATTATGAAAACCTCATAGACTCATTAAATAGACCCAGTGTCCTGGGTCCTGCATCCTAGGGGCTTTGATGAGGGGTGGGGTTAGTGCCCTGAGAGGTCTAGGAGCATGGTCCTTGGGGAGGGGGCTCCGGAGTTTTGTTTCCTGCACACGGTAAGGACATGGGTGTGGTACAGGCAATGTCCTTGTCCCTCCTTTCCATCCGTGAGCTCTGGCTGCTATAGAGAGACCCCCGGGCTCTTCTGCAGCACCATCTCATCCCTGTGACCTCCGCACAGCCTCTGTTCCTCTCTGAGCCGCGTGTCCTCACCTGGGCGGATGGCAGGTCTGCTCGCCTTGCACTTTGTTGAGGTCACGCAGGCTGAGCTGTGCTTTGTGGGGTGGTGTCCTGCCCTGTGCTGATGTGCCCTCCCTCCCTCTGTGTCTCTCCCTGCCCTCCCTGCCCCCACCCCACCCTGCAGTTCTCCAAGTCCATGGTGCTGGACGTGTACAGTGACTACGTGAACAACTTCACCAACGCCATGTCCATCATCAAGAAGGCCTGTCTCACCAAGCCTGCGTTTCTGGAGTTCCTCAAGGTGGCCATGGGTGCTCCGGCCCCTCTCACCAGGGCTGGGGGTGCCCGGGAGGGAGGCCTGGACATCTACCCTTATGCCTTTGGGCTGCCCTAGTCCCGTGGGAAGATACCATTTCTTCCTGCTGCTGGAGGAGGATCAGAAAGTTCAGGGTATTAGGCGTGTGGGGTCCTAGGGTTTTGCAGAGGGAGAGTAGACCTGTGACCCCGCTGCCTCCTCTCCTCCCCCACCGTGTGAGCAGGTGGCCTCGCTTGCCTGTCTTCCTGGCGGGCAGCAGCCCAGGGTCTCTGAGCTGGCTTTTTCTCTCATTGTGAAAGGGTGAGAAGAGTCCTCCCCAAGTCTTGGGCATCTCACGAGAGGACAGAGGTTAAAGGGCGTGGGAAAGCTGCAGGGTCTGTGGGTAACTGGCTGCCCTCCCGGATTTCCCAGGGAGTGCAGGCAGAAGAGGCAGACATAGCCCTGCCTGCGGGGAGCCGCTGCCTGAGGACGCTGGTGTGGAGCGGCCCAGGCAGGGGATGTGGGAGAGAGTGTTCCAGGTGCGAGGTCCGAGGGGTAGGAGGACGGGAACGGCTAAGTCTGGATTCTGGGGTGCAGGATGCCTGTTGGGGGGTCCTAGGAGAGAACGCCATGCGGCAGCTGAGTTTGGTTTGGGCCATTCTGGACCTGCAGGCCTAGGACTGGGATAGAGCATTTCAGGCGGTGGGAGCCCCGAAGAGTTCAGAACTGGGGCAGACGGACAGATATGGGCTGGTGGAGAAACCGGGAGGCTTTGGGGGGTGAAGGTGTGGCTGGAGCAGTGGAAATGCATGTGAGACAGGAGAGTGGGGGCTCCCCGTGCCCAGCCCTCTCCCTGGCCCGGGCCCAAGCGCTTCTAGTTTAGGGAGCAGGCACGGCTGTCTCGGCTCCTTGGGAAGTCAGACCTTGGGAACAGAGGGCTGCCTCGCCCAGTTATGCCTGTAGTTCAGAGACCCACACCGGCTGTCCACACTGGCTGTCTTGGGATGTGGGATCCATGGCTGCAGATTCAGGGGCCCCACTCAGCTCTTCTCTCAGGCCCCGGGCTGAGCGGGGTCCAGGGTTCCGGGAAGAGGAGCCCCTACTACTGGGCCCTCTCTGCAGGAGGTCAGCGAATGACGTGATCTTGTCCCCGGCAGCGGAGGCAGGTGTGCAGCCCCGACCGCGTCACTCTCTATGGGCTGATGGTGAAGCCCATCCAGCGGTTCCCGCAGTTCATCCTGTTGCTCCAGGTACCGCGCCCTTAGCGTGGCTGTGGAGGGTGGGAGTCTCCCGGCGGGGGCTGGGCCCTGGCTCTTTACCCTGACCCACATCCTTTCCCTGCCTCGGGGCTCTGGCCTTCTTGTTCTCTCTTGGAGTGGAGCCATCGTGTTCCAAATGCAGTTTGTACGTCTGCCCGGGGCAGGAAGGGGACCCACGTTCTGCAGGCTTCTGGTAGGCTGGGTGCTCAGTCAGCCTAAGGGAGTGTCAGTCCCACACAGAGTCCACTTCTGAGGGTCCCTGGGGCGATCTCTTGGGGGCTGAGAGGGTGTCTACCAGGCCAAGTGCCCCGTGCCGCTTTCCTCCCTCTCCACAGAGCTGCCAGGCTGCACAAGTGGGTTCTGACCCAAGCATCCTGTTGATCAGTTACTCAGTTTTGATCCACGTATTTGTTTATTGGCTACCATGGTAACCACTTTGAAAGGGCCTGGGCCAGGGGTCTAGCTCAGTGGCGCGGCACCTGCCTGGCAAGTATGAGGTCCTGAGTTCGGTTTCTGGTACCAAAAATCAAATCAATCAATCCGTCAATCAGTCCAGGGTCCGGTCCACTGTCATTAGGCATATTTACCTGTGCAGCCATTGCCGCCATCCCCCTCCAGGTCTGCCTCTTCCGCTGAACTTCTGTCTCCATGAAATGATAATCTCCCGTTCCCTTCTCCCCCAGCCCTCACCACCACATTCCACTTTCTCTCTCTGTGAACTGGACTCCTCCAGGGGCCACCCTGAAGTGGAATTGTCCTGTGTTTGTCTCTTTGTGTGTGCTTCACTCCATTCGGTGCGATGTCCTCAGGGTTCACCGTGCAGAAGCGTGGGTCAGAATCTCTTCCTACTGAAGGCTGGATAATATGTCCTGGGGTGCCTAGACCAAATTTTGCTGGTCAGTTTATTCTGGCACAGACCCTCGGGTGGCTTCTCGTTTGGGCTGTTGTGAATGATGCTGTCGGGGACACGGTGGGCACCTCTCTCCTTGGGACCCTGCCTTCTGGTCTTTGGGTGCATACCCAGGAAGACCAACGTGTTTAGTTTCTTCTCTGTGTCCTTGGGGCCTTGTGCTGCGCCCTGTGTCCCAGCTGTACGCTGTGTCCTCTGCAGACTTGTCAGGATAGCTGGTGTGGCAATCGCGGCCTTGACCCCAGCCTGTAGAGGGCCTATGTGGGTGGGGTTCTCAGTCCCAGCTCTCTCTGCCCTGCAGGACATGCTGAAGAACACCCCCAGGGGCCACCCCGACAGGCTGTCCCTGCAGCTGGCCCTCACGGAGCTGGAGACGCTGGCGGAGAAGCTGAATGAGCAGAAGCGGCTGGCCGACCAGGTGGCTGAGATCCAGCAGCTCACCAAGAGCGTCAGCGACCGCAGCAGCCTCAACAAGGTTAGCTCG